GTAATGCTGGGGCGAGGCCACCCTGCCGCGTGGCTGGTGGTCTGCGTCCCCTCTGTGGGCCTTCACAACAGGGAAACTGAGGCCCAGGAGGGGAAGCCAAGTTCCTTCCCAGCCAGCACAGTGCTGAGGGGCAGGCTGGGGAGAACGCACCCGTCAGGACGCATTTCTTTAGTTTTTATTACTACACGTTTGTAGGTCCGTGAGGGCTACATCCATCGTGGGCCGTTGGTACGTGCATGTGACACATCCTAATTCTTTTCACACCTCCCTCGCTGCCCTCTCCTCTCTTTCCATCTCCTGATCCCCTCTTTTACCCCGCCCCCCATGTCTACCTCCCTACGTCCTATTATCTATTTGCTCTTTATTTATTCCTTGGGTTTCTCATATAAGAGAAATCATGCAATATTTAAGCTGTGTGTCTGACTGATTTCACTGAACATTAGTCTCAAGGTGCATCTGTTTTCCTACAAATGACTCAAGTTTATCCTTCTTTGTGGCAGAGCAGTGCTCCGTGGCATATAAACACTATTTCTTTAGCCATTCATCTCTTCACGGACAAATAGGCCACTTCTGAAATGTAGCCATTATGAGTCGTGTTGCTGTAAACGGCATGCATGGATCCTCACAATATGGTGTCTTAACTCTTTGGGGAAGGTACTAGAAGGTGTCACGTGGAATTTCTAGTTTCAGTTTTCTGAGGAATTTCCCTACTGGGGTTCCTTTTCCCTCTGCAGCCTCTCTAGCGTTTGTTTTTTTTTTTGGTACTGGAAATCGAAGTCAAGATCTGTCGCTTGCCAGTCAGGCAAGGTGCCACTGGGCTAATTCCCTGGCCCCAGGGATTCTAGATTCTGATTTCTTGGTGATAGCTGTTCTTGTTGCTGTTTCAATTTGCATCTCTCTAATGATGTCGAGCTTTTTCCATGTATTTATTATCCATTTGTCCTTCTGGAACTGTCCGCTCATTTCAGTTGCCTACTTTTTATTGGGTCTTTTATTTTGGGAAGGTGTCTAATGTTCTTGACACGAGACCTGGAGCCCAGCTGGGTTAGATACAGAAAGATCCAAGCGTTTAGATGAAAATAAAAATTATTACAGTAAAAGACACAATGCCAAGAACGATGTGGTAAGTGCGTTGGAAGGGAGAAGGGATATTTTCAGGGGATTAATCATAATGTGTCTTTTACTATAATAGATTTTTAATTTAAGCCTTATCATATTTTGGGCCGCCCTTCATTGGTCAAATACGGACAGAAATTTCTGTTAACTAAGAACATGACACTGGTCATCATCTGCCTTATTCACTGGGTCTGGCATTGTGAAACCTCCTGCACTCACACAAAGTGAAGATGACCGAAAAAGGGAAACATTTTTAATCAGTCCAGGCCCCGAAGGCAGCTGGGACAGTGCCGCTGAAGACCCGCAAGAAAGAGGACTCCAGATCTGCTGCAGAAAGTGGCAGGGACAACGGGACAGTGTGTCAGCAGCACGGGGAGGGATGTAAGAGGGACTGATGGCAGCGTGTCTTTTACTGTAATAACTTTTAGAAAGCGCAAACATTCACTGTGCATTGGATCGCATCTCATATGACTCCTCCACGGCTGGCTCGAGGTGGGACTGGAGCCCATATTCCCTGCCCACCTGGTGGCTGACTCACCTGGCTGCCCGCGCTCACTGGAGAATGGCTTGTTGTCCACAAGGGGCACTCGGGCCAGTGCTGCCAGCTCGGTGACAAAGGTCTGCTCGGCTTCCTGACAGGTGAGCAGAGAGCATCAGCTGGCTTCCCCCAGTGGGTCTGCTCCACGGGGACAGCGCCTGAGCATGTTGTCGCTGGTTGGGGGATACGTCCCCCATGCAGAGAGGGCTCTGCCAGAGAGCTCCGGAGCAGGGCAGAGCAAGGGGGCTGCTCCTCTCCCACCGGCCACTTTCGGGGTGCAGAGGAGCGGGGGGCCCAGGCCGGCGTGGACAATGACCACTTCTACCCACTCTGGCTGCCCACATGTACCACGATCCAAGCAGACAGGCCTGGGGCCACGACCTGTGAGCTGTGTGCCCCTGGCCAGTCTCCTCCCCTCCACGAGCCACAGTTTCCTCCTCCGTGGCAGTGTGTGCAGAGTCCGGGACAGACCCACACGCTCACGGCCAGCAGTCACATTCTCACGGTGGCCACAGCTCTAAGACCACGCTGTCCGGTTACACGGAGGGGACAAAGCTCCCACGTGCCCACTCTGGCGGGTGTCCAAGGTGCTCACTGGCTGGGGCTTCCGGGCAGAATGGCAACTTCATACCCCAGAGCCAGCGCCCTGTATGTTCACATGCAGTGACCCCTCAGTCACCACCAGCAGCACGGCCCAAAGGCGCAGACGGTGATCAGCACGAGGGACGTGTGCTCCTCTCACTGCCTCCACTGACCCGGCTGCCAGCCCGGCCAAGGGGACTGTGGCTCCAAGACGCTGGCCCCAGAGGCCCCCGAGCCCCTCCCACGGTGGCCCTACCTGCAGCTGCGCCTCCAGCTGGGCCTCCAGCCGTTCCAGGGTCCGGGCCTTCTGCCTCTGCACATCCAGGCGGAGCCGCTGGTGGGCGGTGAGCTGGGCCCGGAGCCTCCGCTGCCGGCACAGCACCCTGGGGGCGGATGAAGGCCTCAGCGTCAGCGCAGCCGGAGCTCGGGTCACTCTGTGTCCTTTTCCATGTCACCACGAATCGCGGCCGGGGCAGGAATGGATGCAGGCAGGGGCACCAGCTGACGTGCGGCCCAGAAGCACAGGCACAGGGTTGGGTGGAGAGCCCCTGCCAAACGCGACCACTGTGCAGCCTCACCTCTGGGGGACCCCCTGGGGGGCACTGCCTGCTGCCTGGCTCCCCAGGGAGGACTCGCTGACTTCCTGCTTTTTCTTCAGCTTGTAGTTGTCCATCCGCTCACCTGGGTCAATCATCAAACACAGGACAGTCAGCTGTAGGCCGCGACGCAGATTCTGCCCAGCCCAGCCCAGGTGGGGTGATGGTGTGGGGTCCCAGGGGAGCGGGACACAGCTGTTCCTAGAGTGGGGTGCACCTGCGGTGCAAGCTGCAGAGGCTCCGGCCACGGGCCCGGTCTCAGGTGCCAGGAGGAGGGAAGCAACTGCTCCACAAAGAGAGCGTCACGGCAGCCCAGCACCCACCGCGAGGGGGGGAGGACTCACAGCAGGGCGTGGCTTAGTCACAGCCCCCACTCTGAGCTCTTTCCTGTTCTGCAGACTCTGCTGCTCAGAGCTTGTGTGGCTTTCAGAATTTTACAGTGGTGCCCAGGACAGGCCTGGTGCACGCCATCGGCCAGACAGATTATTGCAACCGCACCCCTGGACTCCGGAGTGTACTGCTGTGGACAAGCCGAGGGGGTCCCCTCCCAGCTAAGCTCGGCCGCAGTGCGGGTGGGGTGGGTGGGGTGTGGGGGACACTAGCACTAGGGGGCGCCACACTCCCCTCTGCGAATTACCCAGCAGGGGGATCTGGTGGGGCTGGAATTGTCCGCCCTTATCGAGGTGGGGTGGGTGGGGTGTGGGGGACACTAGCACTAGGGGGCGCCACACTCCCCTCTGCGAATTACCCAGCAGGGGGATCTGGTGGGGCTGGAATTGTCCGCCCTTATCGAAGGGGGAAAGGGGGTGGTGGGCAGGAAGAGGGGAGGAAGAGGGGAGTATGGGCCGGGCCAAGTTTTGAATCCCCAGGACCCGGGAGACAGGTGGCAGCTGGGACCTCCAGGGGGCGCACCCTGAAGCGTCTTCAGCTGCTCTAGTGTCCGCTCCTCCTGATCCTGCGCCACCCTCCCCACGCGCTGGGAATACGTCTGCACCAGGCGGGCTACGCCGGCGAAGGTCACGTAGACGCTCTCCGCTGCGGTCTCCACCAGAGTCCTCTGCGGGAGACAGCACGAAAGTCAGGCCAACTTGGTGCCCCTCACCTTCCCAGGTCCCCCCTTCCGCCCACTCCCAGCCTGGACCTGTTAGGCAGCGGGAGATGTGCATTGTTGACTAAACCAGTCCTGATGGATAAAGGTCAGGTCCATGGGATGTTGGCCATGTGACCTGGCGCTGGCCACTAAGGCCCAACATTAGGGAAGGTGCTGGGGAAACCCTCTCTCTAACATTAAGGGAAAGACTTGATGAGCTGTAAGACAGAGCCACTTTCCTCTTTCTGGGTAGAAGCAGATCTGACACCTGGAGAGACAGCAGCCATTTTGAGACCATGAAGCATATATATGTATGTATGTATTAATAGCAAAGACAATGGATTGGGAAGGAAAAGCTAGTCTCTGCTCTCACTGCAGAAACACTGGCTACCTGGTACCACCTCGCTCCACATTTCTGTTTGGAGGATGAGCCCTCCCTACCCGAGCTCAGCCTGGGGGTGGTGGTGGGGGTAACGACCAGAGGCTCACGTGAGATCTGGGTGGGGCATCACGGAAATGTGGGTCCAGCCTCAGCTTACAGGTGAGCAGGCCGACTACTGCCAGGGCCGACAGGAGCTCCGGGAGCCTGGAACCTCAGGGGCACAGCCTAACCCTGGCTCCTGCCCGTCTGGGTCCAGCACACTGGGCCCCAAGGACGCCGCATACCTTGAAGTCATCCCGGTCCTTGGCACGGCTCCTGGTGGCTGAGTTCCGAGCCTGCGCTAGCAGCGCCTGCCCCGCGGCCCGCTCGGTGCACCCCTGAAGCCGCTGCCGCACATCCTGGGCCTCGGCCAGCAGCTGCTGCTGG